TATTCTTGTTTTCATTATAAATCTAGCTAAGTGTTGTGTGTTCAAAAGAGCCTTGTTCCAAAATATAGTTAGTAAGCTGCAGTGTACTGTTCCTTTGGAAACAGTAGGCCTGTCTGTGAGTGTTCAGTGGATAAGGGTCTGGACACTACATAGGTACACACCAACCCTCGAGTCCTTAGTATTCTATCACTAAGCTGCACAGAGACAGCAAAGTCTACGGAAGCCTGGAAGGTAGTGCTTGTGTTGCCAGAGAATGGTGGTTTCAGGGAGCTAAAACAAGCTCGTTCAGACGAGACTCTCTCACACTAAAGGCGGGAGGTGGTGAGGTGCCTTACAACCATGCGTACCCCTGCAAAGCATGACAGGGCAATGTCATGGGAAAGGTACCGTTACACCATCTTATAAATCTTGGTAATGCTCAGGAGATTATTGATTGCTAACCCCACAGTCAAATGCTAACTACATTAGGGCAACTAATGGGAGCCATGTTTCTATTATTTGTCACCCAGTCTCACAGGGTTCAGAATTCATAAACAGAAAGGAGTATTTTTCCATGGTACTCCAAGGCCTGATTGACCACTTTGGCTAGTTCATAAACATCAATGCAGTGTGCAGGGCCGGCCTTAAGGAAAATGGTGCCCTGGGCAAACTTGTATTTTGGCACACGCACACCAATCACCTCTGGCCCCACAGGTTCCCTGAGCTTTCCCTCCCCACCCCCATAATCTCTAGGCCCTGCTGCCTCACCCCAGTGCTTAATTTGTATTGAAAGGTTATTTTGGGCTCCCTTACATGCATTAAAATCTGTATACACATCAAACATGCCAATTCAACTGTTCAGTCATGCACAAGAGTCTCCAAATCCAATCCCCTTTTGTTCCCCACATCCAACCCTACCCCCTCCATCTCCCACATCTAGCCCTGCACCCCGAGAGGAAGTTGCCTTTGCAGCCTGGCATGCATGGACTAGGCAACACTGCCCCAGCAGCAGCAAAGGCTCTCCCTCTCAGCACTGTGCCACAGCTCCCCACTGTCCAGGCTGCTGGGGGTTCATTTCAGCACCCCGAGACCCTAGATGATGCTGCTAGGGGCAGGGGCCAGACTCTCCGCAGCCAGCTCCATGCACCTGAAGGTGGGACCACAAACAGCTTCCACACTCTCTCCTTATTCCTCCCTGCCAACTTGAGGCTTCCTGTCTATCCCCCATACCAAGAGGAGCTGCTGTAGGTTCCAGCAGGAAGGCATAACAAGCAGAGTGGGACCCAACTACACTCCCTCCATACAGGAGCCCCTGCCTCCCTCAACCCCATGTCTTGTTCCTTGGCTCAGATCTTTCTAGGGCCCAGAGAGGAACGGATGGGATCGAGCAGGAGGACTTGACAGGTGGTGCAGGACCCAGGTGCTGGCTTAAGTCCCAGCTGTGTGACGTAGTCACTGCTGTATGGTCAGGGAATGTCGGTGTGCACACCAAATTGGACTGGCATTGTGACCTGACACATGAGGTCACAACGCTCCTGAAATTTGGCCCAGCTGCCCCTCCATCTATACAGAGGGGTAGCTGGGCCATATTTCAGTGGCATTGTGACTCTGTGCACTAAGTGCTGGAGGGTGCCACTCCGGGCACACACATGCTCCCCCACCACCACTCCAGCAGCACCATACCCCTGCCCTCTCAGTTGCATGGGCCTCTGTGCACCTACATAGACTATTCCTCTGCTAATGCTTTTATGGCATCACGGTGTCCACACTAGGGGAGTTGCATCACTTTAATTACCTAAAGTAGTAAAACCTGTGTGTGTGTATACAATAAGGCCTAACGTTGCAACTGATATATCATTAAGTGTTTAATTTCAGTGGCATGTATTACATTTAGAGCTGGTTGAAATTTTTCAAATTTCAAAACTTCCCATTTTAGGAGGAAAAAATTTGAAATCTTCACTTTTCCCCCCAAACCAACCCTAATTGTATTGTTGATTGGACTGCTCAAAAACTCCACTCCTCTACATTACAGAAATTCAAGTTGTCCAAGCCCCTTAGCGAGAAGGGTATCTCTACACTGGAAACTTCAAAGCGTTGCTGCGGGAACACTCCCGTGGCAGCGCTTTGAAATGCGAGTGTGGTTGCACAGGAGCTCTAGGAGAGAGCTCTCCTAACGTTCCTGGTAATCCACCTCCACAAGAGGATGAGCTCGGAGCCTGTCTACACTAGCTCTTTAAAGTGCTCAGACTTGCTGCGCTCAGGGGGGTGATTTTTCACCCCCTGAGCCAGCAAGTTAGAGCGCTATAAAATGTAAGTGTAGACAAGCTCTGAGCACTGGATAGATAGAATGCACAGCTGAATCTACAACAAACTGTGGTTTTGATCTGGGGTGTTGGTGCTACTGGAGCTTCCAGAGTGTTAAAGAAAGGGGGAGAGGGGTGAAGCAGCTGATTTGGAGCTGTCTCTCCTCTTCCCCAGTGAGATAGAGAGTAATGGGGATGGGGTGGAAGTTTGGCACTGACTCAGCCCCACAGCAGTGGGGAAGTATGTAGAATTATCTGAAAGCAGTGGGCCCAGGCACAGTGGAGATCTTAGTCTGGTTCACTTGATTCAACTGGCTGGGATCGTTAAGACAATATAAGGGGTATCAGCTCCGGTAATTCTACCCCACTGTAGTTCAAACTCGAGAAGACACCGGTGAGCAGTGAGGTGGAGAAGTCGGTGCAGGCCATGCAGCCCCAGGCAAAGAAACCACATAGCACAGTGTGGCGGGGCAGTGGCAGGAAAAGAGGTAGCACGCACAGGAGTGGTCCATGTTGCCAGCAGCCAGGTAGCTAGTGGAGAGCAGCCAGCACTGGGAGGCAGTGGGCCTCGGCAGGCACCGACTCAGATAGCGGGGGAGCGGGCACTGCCAGGACAGGAAAAGGGGTTGAGGGAGCAGTGGGGGCAGGCTCAGTGCTCCACAGAGAGGGACAAGCGACAGCATAGAGAGCGGCCCTGGGACGGAGTCGACGCGGGCGGGACGGGGGGCAGCGAGGCGGTAGCTGTCTCGGGGACCCCGCTCACCTCGAAGGCTTCTCTGATACCGCTCCAAGTCGGACTCCTCCCGGGCCTCCCGCATAGGGGCAGAGTCCGCGTCTCACACCGTGAGGCAACGCCCGCTCAGACTCCGGGCTCTAGCCTCTGCTCCCCTTCTCTGTATCCCGGAGAAGCGTGGGAGCGAGGAGCAGACCCGAGCCTCCCGCTCCCGAGTCCTCCCCCCAACAGCACTCGGGAGCTGTAGTTCCGTATCGTTCACTGTCCCGTCCCACCCAACAGCCCGGGGCTCTTAGCAGAACTACAATTCCCACGCGGCTATGCGGCACCAACCTCCCATCCTGACCTCAAGCAGTTTGGGAGCCCGTTGCTAACCAACTAGGAAACGGTCTCCTATGCCCCCAGCTGAGCGAGTCATCCTCAGAGCTCCGCCCAGTAACGCGGCACGTACTCACCTTGTGTCCTTCCAAAGACTACATCTCCCAGCATGCAGCGCGCCATCCTCTGAGCCCTGGGAATTGTAGTCCCTGGGGCTACAACCTCCCCGAGTGTAGAAGAGAGCTGCTGCATTCGGCTCTATCCCTTTGTATGCGGTCAGATCGCGCTTGCGCACTGCGCAACTGTTCCGCTCCAGCACATGTTTCTTTCCCCGCAGTGTATGGGTGAAGCGCACGCGCAGTAATCTCGGGCAAGAGGGAATCCATGTTTTTCTCCTTCACGTTGTGCGCCCGCTTCCGAGGGGAGTTTGCGCCTCCATTGTCTGGATGTGGCGCAAGCGCATTGAGAGTTTGCTGGGGCGCCCTCAATCGCCAGAGCGCCTGCGCAGTAATTCTCGGAGTCAGGGCTCCGTTTGCCCCTCCCCCCCGCGCATTGTGTGTGTGTTAGGGCGGCGCTTGCGCAGTGCCCGCGCCCCGCTCGGTGCCGTTAGCCGCTATGTGCAGGGAATAACGTTAGAGCGGTTGCTAGCGTGAGACCGACAGAGACGGAGCCGGTGCGTCCCGCCCCCTGGCGACGAGGAGATGGCGGGTCAGTGAGCGGCGGCACTAGGGACACCCCTGCCCAGCGAGTCTCCTTCGCGGGGGGGGTAAGTGATGATGCTCCTGCCCCAGTCCCCTCCTGGTCTGAGCTGGGGCACCGGGGGGTTGCACCGTCCGTCCCTCCGTGCGCCTCCATGGCCGCCACCCCTTCTGCCGTGCTGGGGGGTGTGCGGCTGGCGCTGCCCCAGCCTCCGAGCTGTCCGCCGGGGGACGGGCGGCTTGTTCCAAGCGACCCCTCCCGGATTGCTGGCTGCTCTGCACCGTTCCCACCCGGCGGCGGCCGCCGCCTTCCCTGCTGCTCCCCGCCCATCAGCCTGCGCTGGCCACGGGCGAGCCCGAGCCACCGGCCCACGCTGGATGCAGATGGAGCTGCTAAATCGCTTTCTTCCTCTGCCTCTCCCTCCCCCTCCCCGACACAGACATGCCCCGCGGTGGAGGGAGGGAGACTTCCCTATTTAGCTGCCCCCGCGGACACAGCCATCCCTTCCCGTCCTCACTCACCTGGGACGGCGAGTCTCCTGAAGTGTGGGGTTATTGTTTATAGCGAGGGTCGTCTTATTTTTAAATCTTTCCTCCTCCGTTGACGGATTTTGTTGTTTCATTGAGTCCTTTTTATTTTTGAATCTTCCCCCGTTTCAAAACGCCCCCATAGTTGGAGTCCAGCAGCCCCTCCACCCATAATTAGAAAAATGAAACTCTTCCTTTAATGTGGAAAGGGAAATGAGAAAACCCATTATTTCCCCTCTTATTTGTCTATTTCCTTTTTCTCTATCTTGAGTATTTTGATAAGGTCTCTTTAATTGTTAACAAAATCCCTACTTCCCTAATATTTGATATACATGGGTTCTGACAAATGTTTATCAGGAAAAGGTAAAATAATTTGCCTTTTGTGAAAGAAAATGTTGGAGTGGAAATGAATGGGTTACTAATATAACACGAAGCTGATGGCGCTTTTCAAATATAAAGCATTCTGTGGAAGAGGAAGCTGACTCGACTGAGAAGCAGATGACAGTTGTATGGATGAGCTTTATTTTGTGATCTCATCCATGCACTGCTTGGAGCCGGATGCTAGTGGTTCTGCAGTTAGGGCTGGGGGAAGGAGGAGGGATTCTGGTACATTTAGTATTCAGTAAATCCAGTCTATTCATTGGCATCAGGCAGGGCTACTCTTGCATCTCTGAATCCAATCAGGGAAATGCCAAATGCATGAAGCACACACCACAGCCATTCAGTGTAGTAGTGTGTGTATGGACATTAGGAAGCTGACTCTCAGTGAAAGGTAGCTGAGAGCATGAGATAGTTGTTAGCTTATTGGACACTGCCTTAAATATTTTTTTAATGAGTTGACAGGCCACCTATTCTGTATGGATTTAAGGGGGAGCAGGAAAAGGTTGAGGAGTGTTTACGGTTTAGATGAATTGAACATATGACATGCCTGTTTTGGATCTATAGTCAAAAGATGATGTGATAGGGACTATACACAAATATGTAAACTCCTTGTGAGTTAACCAGGCTCTCCTCAGTTACAGTGAAATTAAAGGTATTCATAAAGTATTCAACTACATTGATCATGTACCTTCATGGAGTCCCAGTCAAGTGAATGGGACTGTGCGCTGGCTCAGGATTTGCCCATATAAAACAGTATGCAGAATCAGAGCCAACAATTGTAACAAATTAATATGAGCAAAAACAAAATTAAGAGTTCATGACTAAGTAAAACTGTTTTCCCATGGTTGAAGAAGAGCTCTGTGGAGATTGAAAGCACATCTCTTTCACAAGTTAGTCCAGTAAAAGATATTACCTTACCCACTTTGTCGCTCATGTTTTCACATGATTAATTTCCAAGTATTCATTGTGCCTCGGTGTCGGAAAACATATCTTTTCCCAAAAGGGACGCTATTAACATAAAATTTGTTTGCTTTTAAAAAATGAGTTACAAACAGGTGCTCTTGAGTTTTTCTACCAATATTTATGTTTATGCAGTTGCACTTCCCTGTTTTTAAAAATGTTTTTTTTTTCTTTGTTGCTCCATGAAAGGCTCACAGAAACAGGGGAAACTGACTAACCAGTGGGAAAATAGTGATGCTGAATATGCACAAAATGTTGTCAAAAGTACAAAATAATCAAGCTGGAAAAAATAACTTAAAGATTAGAGAAAAATATATTTATCTAGAAGTTACTTGGTTGTAGGTAAAATATTTTCAGACAGTGTTGCTAGCTAAACTGTAAGTCATCTCTGTAAAAAACTTTATTGCAATTTCCATCTTTGGCTCTGATTTTTGTATCAAATATGCTGCATTTACAAGTTGTTTTGTTTTGTTTTAAAGCTGCCAGCATTGCACACACAGGCTGGGGTCTGAAAGCCAAGATGGGATTTCTTTCTTTCTTGTGCTTCATCATCAGTAATAGCTACATTCTAACTGCAGAATCTATCAATTCTGATGATATATAAACCAGAAAATAATCCACTTCACTCTCTTGGATCTAGAAAAGTCTACTTGCTCACTTGTGGTTGGGAAGTAGGACACTTCCCTTAGTAACTGGAACAAGGCCTAAACCATCAACATTTGCAGAATTTGATCTTTCATTTAAAATATTGTTTCTAGCCCTTATGGATGCAAATATAACTTATTTAATGTTAACTAATTCTGTGCTGGATCCCTGATTCTCTAAACAGATTGTTCCAGTGCCACATTTGTTCCTTCTAGCTTTGGCAAGCAGAATGAAATTGAGGTGAATATGATTAGTTTCACCGTAGTTCAGAATTCCCTTAGAAGCCACAAAACTGACCAGATTTATATCTGTCTCTCTGTGTTACTATTGAGAAATCTACTAACAGCAAAGACAGGCATTGCAGCTGTTCATGAATTAGGAGAATGAAAAGTTGCAGAATTCCTTACCTCTATTTCTCAACAGCCATAGGGGTGTTAGAAGGACAGAATAGCAGAGAATCCCCCTTTGCAGAAACTGTTGCCTGAAGCAGTGGAAACCCTCACGCATTCCAGGAACCAGGAGACTGTTGAGGAATGGGGAGAAGAGAGAGAGCCTCATCTCTTCCTGAGGCTTCTGATTTGTTAATCAGAAGGTGGAAATAATAAAGGTGAAGTCCCCAAGAAATGTTAAGAGTACAGCAACTGCTAGGAATTCCAGCATCCTCCTTTTCCCTAGCAGCAAGAGTTTTGTAGCAATGGTGCCAAACTTTGCCCCTTGATTTACTTGTAGAGCTTTTTTCTGTCTTTTGTACTAGCCTCTGGCTATTAAGTTTCTGGTACATTTTTAAACCACACCCTCATCCTGTAGTTGTATTAACCAGCATTTCTTTTTCTGCCTCATTCAATACATTTCGTCAACAAATAAGGCAGGGGTTCTCAGATTTTTGTACTGTTGACCCCTTTCACATACCAAGCCTCTGAGTGTGACCCCCCCCCTTATACATTAAAAGCACTTGTTTATATATTTAACACCATTATAAATGCTGGACAAAGCAGGGTTTGGGGTGGAGGCTGACAGCTCGTGACCCCCCATGTAATAGCCTTGCAACCCCCTGAGGGGTCCTGACCCCCAGTTTGAAAACCCCTGAAATAAGGCAAGGATCTTATAGACAGTTGCCTCCTACCGATGAATCACTGTAGCATAGTGAAGAGCTGAATAAGGCAGGTGTCTGGGGGTGGGAGGGAATAGTATGTGATCATGTAATTAAAGACTGTATTAAATCTTGACTTTAGTAAGGCTTTTGATACTGTCTCATATGACCTTCTCATAAACAAACCAGTGAAATATAGCCTAGATGAACCGAATATGGGATGGGTGCACAACTGGCTGGAAAACCATACTTAGAGTAGTTATCAGTGGTTTACAATTCAGGTGCAAGGACATATTGAGTGGGGTCCTGAGTCCAGTCCAGGGATCTGTCCTGAGTCCAGTTCTATTCAATATCTTCATAAATGATTTAGACAATGGCATAGAGAGTATACTTATAAAGTTTGCGGACAATAACAAGCTGTGAGGGGTTGCAAGCGCTTTGGAGGGCAGGATTAGAATTCAGAGTGGTCTTGACAAACTGGAGAAATGGTTTGAATTAAATAGGATGAAATTCAATAAGGACAAATGCAAAGTACATAAAATGCGAAATGACTGCCTATGAAGGAATACTGCAGAAAAGGATTTTGGGATTATAGTGGATCACAAACTAAATATGAGTCATTAATGTAATATTGTTGCAAAAAAAAGCAAACATCATTCTTAGATGTATTAGCAGGAGGGTTGTAAGCAAGACACAAGAAGTATTTCTTCCACTCTACTCAGCAGTCATAAGGCCTCAGTTGGAGTATTGTGTCCAATACTTCAGGAAAGATGTGGACAGATTGGAGAAAGTCCAGAGAAGAGTAAGAAGAATGATTAAAGGTCTAGAAAGGTCTACGAGGAAAGATTGGAAGAAAAAATGGGGTTGTTTAGTCTGTAGAAGAGAAGACTGAGAGGAGACATAATAGTCTTTGATACATAAATGGTTGTTATAAAGAGGAGATTGCTAAATTGTTCTTCTTAACCACTGAGGACAGGACAAGAAGTAATGGGCTTAAATTGCAGCAAGGAAGATTCAGCTTAGACATTGGGAAAAATGTTCTTACTGTAGGGAGAGCACTGAAACAAATTATCTAAGGAGGTTGCGGAATCTCTGTCATTGCAGGTTAAATACCTGTCAGAAATTGTCTAGCTAATACTTGGTCCTGCTTCGGTGCAATGGATTGGACTAGATGACCTATCTGGGTCCCTTCCACTCCTACATTTCTGTGATTCTATGAATTCACATGCACAATGAGGCAAATTGAGGTTGCCCAGATAACTTTAATTCTGATATTTTGTAACTTTTGAGTGCTTCACTTTGCATCCTTAATATTATTTTATTGTAGTTTGTGTGTGTGTAAGTAATTGTGAACATACAGTAGACTTGTAGAGTTGAGGTTTATTTTCCATTACAAACTCAAATTC